GAGGATCCCACACGCAGAATTTTCATGTGTTAATTCGAAATTTAACATGGAAAATTTGGCGTTCATCAACCAATGAACGCAAAAAAATCTACATTCAATCCTTATATTTGCATTTGGTAGTGTACAGCGATCCATCACGGTACTTTTAAGGATAAAATTATTGCCATAATATAGTTAAACCTATCATTATTGTCAGAAAAGTTGGAAAAAACAGCAACACAACTCCTGTCAATTAACTTTAAGCCCCGCCCCTATATTGCTTGGCTGACGATGACAAATGAATACACAACTACACAAATAATATAGTGCAAGGTTAGTGAAGTCTTTTTTTCTGAAATTTTATCTGTAACAGTAACAAATAACTTAAATATTCAACACAAACTCAGAAACCAAGATTTGTTCCATCGTCATACGGCGAATCCCAAGTTGTCACAGGAGATGGCGTCATAACAACGTCATCGGCGATCACTAAGGAAATTTGTAGTTCATAGGTAAATGAATGCAAATTTCTCTCATGGGTTCACTGTAGCACGTGACAATCAAATATAAATATTATGAAATGAGTGAAATTTCAGTCCCTCCCTCCCGTCAGTAAACAAAATTTCCTTTCCTTGAAACAAAACCATTTTAAAATAGTTCCAAATAAATGAAGTATGATTATAATTTATATTCTGTGGGTATACTTACTGTATAAAAAATTTTTTCAATAATGTAATTATGTTGAGAAAGATATCAGAATCTAGAAATTCACTAAATATCTTTGGATACGTCGATGGTTCAATTCTCTGCAAAACAGAATGTTTATATATGTAAATCTTATCATATTCATACAACACAGGGTGTAATGATATGCTAGCTTTTATATATCAATATAACAATGGGTATTCTTATTTCATGAGGGCACAAAGCCAGTCTGACTAAAGACAAGTTATGATATATTTTAGATAGTAAATTCTGATTCCTTGTTAAAAAATATTGTAAACTAATAAAATATTGGTACAGCTACCTTAAAGTATAAGTGGAATGCTTCAAGATCATTCTTCAACTCTTTATAATCAGCTTGAAACTGGACTGAAGTTGTTGGTATTTTTCTATCTGAGGCCCAATCTCTAGGAGAGGATGAATTAGAAGATGATTTCACTTCTCTTGAAGGTTTCACAGTTTTCTCAATGTTAAGAGGAGGCACAATTTCAATGTTTGATATTTCTTCAATTTGTACTCTAGAAGAATTGTCAGTTTTATTCATGTTTATTTCACAATTAACATCAACACTGTCTTCAGCTGTAACATCCTCAATTTTCAGTTTACGTGATTTCTGATTTAATTTAATATTAGCAGAGCTTTCAAATTTTAAAGTGTCTAATTCAGTATGTTCTTTAACAGATTTTGATGGTTCACTTGCAGTAAATTTGTCAAATATTTTAGTTTGTCTTGCAGTAATTTCTTTGTTTTCATCACTTTGTGTAGATTTTGTTTTTTCTATTGCTGTCTTACGACTTGCATCAGTTTCAATGCCAATCTCTTGTATTTCTATTCTTTTTAATGGTTTCTGAAAAGTAATTTAAATATGATTGAGATAATTAAAGACATTATATTTCTGGTAGATATCTACTAAAGTTCTGCAAGGATGAGAACTTTGTGTATCAAATTTACTGTTATGCCAAAACTATTTACTATATTATGTAGACATATTCATACCAGAACATCTGTTACTTACTTTAGAGCGTAGTTCTTGTGATTTATAGATTGGTTTAACAAGACCTTCTTCACTGAATTCTACTCCTGACACAGGTGCTCTATCTTGATTCTTTCGGTTTATCTCCTAAAAAAAAACACACAATTAAATACTTAATTACATATATTGATCATAAAGGACAAAAATCTTGAAGAATTTTGATAGAAGTTATGTTTAAAAGCCAATTATTGTTATTTGAGAAACTGAAGAGGGAATATTGTCAGAGATAGGTTTAATCTAGGATCAAGTATAAATTTCATTTTATGATAACCAATGTGACTCTTGATAAAAATCTGATTATTGACAGTAAGTTTTCAGAAAATATTTACACTTTATTTGTCTACGAACCTTTTTCAATTTTTCTAATTCTGCTTTTGCTACTTTATTACCAGGATCTAAATTGAGCAATTTCTTATAATCTTCTCGAGCCATGTCATATTTCTTTAAGCCCACTCTTGCTGCAGCACGTCTTAAATAAGCTTTATAATACAGAGGGTCCAAAATAATTGCTTGATTAGCATCTACTTCTGCTGCACCATACCTGTACAATTGAAAGGGTTATTTGAATAATTCTGTCAGCATTTTGCCAGAACATGGAAATAGTATTTAAGAAGGGGAAAGAAAGTTTTTACAGTGAGGAAAGGACATTAGTGAGTAATCAAATATCTCATTTTAGATTGAAGTGACTATGTGTCATTCACAAGCAATTGTAGATTGCTGACCATGTTTGAGAATAACACGGATTGCCAAGAGAGACAACAAATCATACAGAGTGGCTCTTTGATTTCATCTTGAAATTTGATTCTACCTACCTTTCTAGTTTCAATAAAGCCATTGCTCTGTTGCCTGGTAATAAGGCATTAGTTGGATCAGAGTTACTCCCCTTCGTGTACCATTCAATGGCCTGGTCATATTCACCTTTCTTAAAATGTTCATTTCCCTGAAAAATGACATAATTCTTTTTTTACTAAAAATGTCCTTGAAATTGCTAATAACTATATGTTTGACCTACTGTGAATCAGCTTACATCAAAATAATGGCATTACATGTTATCTCAGCTGGTAATTCATGGTAACTCATTTACTTTCAATGCAAAATTGTAATAGTACATACCTTATTTTTCTCCTCAATGGCTCTCTGTTGTAGAGCCAACTTCTCCCATTCTTCATCTGAGTCAGATTCTGTATCAGTGTCTGAGAGATTATTATTTTCCTCTACATCTTCACAGGCCTTATCCTATAAATAATATTGAAATACTCATACAGGGATCCTAGACTCCCTCTTTTTAGAGGAATTTCTCTATTTGTCTGGCCTCTGCTATTTTTGAATAAAGATCTCTATAAAGGAAATAACTTCCAAAATATCAATAAAATGGTAAAATCTCCTCCTGTACCTCGCATCGGAGCCTGTGACTAATATTTCCCATTCATCAATTTTCTTTTATTCCTTTCTGGGATCTCTGTGATACAACTTTTACAATATACATCTCAACCTAAACACACAAGTCTTTTACACCAATGCAGAAATCGATCTAGTAAATCTTGCCATCAGAATGATATTTTTCAGGAAGTACAGACCCTGACAATGGTTATAATGTCAACAAACAAATATTGTAGCCAAAGTAGGTTTTTTTGGATAAATGAGAGGTGCATTTCATGGTACATAACCTAAATTGAGTAAATAGGAATCTCCTATATTTACAACGATTCCTTAAAAGATGGTCTAGTATATCTACTATAGAAGACAAAGGACAATAGGAATGAATGTTGTTACCATTCCCAAAGCCTTATGATTGAATGAAATAAGTTTACTTACAACATCAAATTGATCCCATCCTCTATAATCATAGCTACTAATTCTCTTTCCACTTTTATTTTCATTACTGTACTTTTTATCTCCATTTTTACTCTTTTCTTTCTTATCTTTCTTTTTCCTTTTTTTCTCTTTACTGTTTCTAATAGGTGGTAAATCCTGCAATATTAAAACAAAGTTTCAGTACTATCAGCTCGAAGAAAATTTCCAAAATAACCCACAGACCATAACAGACAAATTAACCTTTTTTAATACAATGCAGAAGTAAAGGCTTACATTAAGAATCCATTATTAGTTGAAAGACTGGTATTTGTTTAAAAAACATCAAAATGGAATAAGTAAATTATAGTCGAATCCATTACAAGATATCCCAAGTGGTTGGGAAAGTGAGCGATTTCCATTCGTCGGTTAATCCAATCTCGCTCATCACTTTTTAAATGAATTTGAATATCAGCTTGAAAACAATAATGATAGTCTAAGAATGACTGTGTGTTTCTAAAAATATCTAAATTTATATTTACTTCATTCAAATACACACTTTCCTCCCAGAGATTGTTAGGCAATAGGTCTACTTTGAAGCCGATATTCAAATTCTTAAAAATATTAACACTGATCAAATGTTGCATTTATAAGCGAAGCACCTACCAAGATTTGCTTACAATGCACATTTATTTTAGAGATTTGCCAAGCGCGTTCCAAACCCGACAGAATCATGGCTCACAGCGGCTCCAAGACTTTGGTACAATTAGTTTGAGTTCAGGGCAGCAGTGGAAGCAAGTATATTTTGAGAACTTGTTCTTAAATTGACAAAATAAAAACAAAAATATCATCTTTAGCCGCCTTGGAAATTGTCTTACAACAAAGACAAAGATCGGTAAAAATAGTGTATTCCATATGCCAATTTAACTATTCAATAATTTAAAAGAGCTGTATAATCTGAGAGTTTTGTCGCCGATTAGAGTCTGATTATCGCGACATCATGCAATCAGATTCATTTTCCTTTCCAGTGCATGCTCCACACGTGTTTATGGATATGGTGGAAACCGACTGATTCTTATTTAAGGCGAATGATATATATCACGAAATGACTTTGTTTCAGAATTATTTTTTATTATCGATAGATTATCATGCGCCACTGGATGTCAAATTCTTAAGTAAACTCAAACTTTGTTTCATAAAATCTTTTTGTAATTTTATTGTAGCCTGTAAACATTCATTTATTGCCTGCATAACGGGCTTAGAGTGTCAAAATAGAAGCTGCAAATTCGGTTCACTACTTATTGGGTGTTGAATATTTTATTCATTACATCTTTGGAAAAAGTAACATTGCCAGTACATATTACATATTAAATAATGCTTTCAAAACATACGGTACTGTTTTTTTTTATATGGTACCGGTATTACATGTATGATATAGACCTACTGGTATCATTTAATTTTCACCTGATCTTCATATTTTTCAAGGCAAATTTTTTTTTTACAAATGTAAATAGGTATGGCCAAGGACCAGTTGGTAGAAAGGAACCTAAGAATTGTGAACCTAAGTTGTTATTCTTGTAAAATATAGTTTTTTCTTTCTTTCTACTCAGACTGTTGCAGTGCTGGTAGGCTTAATAACTATTGATGACAGTAGCCCTATATTTGAGTTAAAAAAAAAAAAAGAAACCTACCTGTTTAGATGGCACATCTTTTATCTTCTTCAAATTTTCGTCTTTCGCTTTAATATCAGATGTCCATTTATCTAAATCACCAAGGAAACTGGACAAATCAGCTTGATTTTCTCTCAACTGTGACTGTAATGTCAGCATTTTATCTTCATGTTTAACTTTAGATGTTACCGGCATTTTAAATAGGAAATGTTATGTCCTAAATTTCGGACGTATTGCTTAACCAATATGTTTGGCCAGGTTTAGATGTCAATAAATAAGAACGTTACGTTCTCTTCGAGGTTTTGTCTTCTTGAATGAGTGGACTTCTGCGTTATGGGCGCAGACATGTTGGAGGAAGTTACGTCATGGACAAGAATATTCACTTACCGTGTACGGAGCTTCGTGAGTGCCCAAACTTAGTCATCTCCTTCATCATCTTTGGCTTAAATATACCCTTTTCGAAACTCCCATTTGGACAAATATAGCTTTATAAGTATATTTTAGGATGCATTTGAATCTATTTCAAAATTTTCAGATTTCCTTTTGGCCTAAAGGGGTCATTTTTTTTGTTTTGCCTCTATGTGCTTCCATAATTTTGACGAATACATAATTTACCCTTTGACCCGATAAAGCGACAAAATATCCAATGTAAACAAGGAGCTGTCATTGATACATCTTCCATTACATAGTCCAGTCAGTAGGGAGAAGTGAAGCAAAAACACATTTTTAAATTCTAATTGCTGTAATAAGTGTTAATCTTTAGTGTAGGTGTTTGTTGTTAGGCCTAACAACAAATACATTGATCTGACTGAGTGATTGTGTAAGATAAAAAGTTTGAGTTCTGATTAGCCTAACTGGCTGAAGTAAATACTGCAATGGTGAGTATGTTTTTTATATTTAATATGACTACTCTGGTGGGCTATAATTACAGAGGATAATCAGCTTTCCTGCAATTAAGGGGTAAACATATTCTACTAATCTGAAACTCCCCAATTTTTGGATGACTCTGTGATTGTGTCTGCCCTCTGCTTTGTTGTTGTCCTACCTATTTGTTTCCTTTTTAGTAAAGAAACCTTTAGAAAGTTGTCAACATCTTAAGCCTTAGGAGCTTAATAATATGACATATAATATAAATCTATCCTTACATGATCTATGAAACCTGGTCTATTTTTTATATAGAGTCAACATCAAAACTTAGCTTAGTGCGTTATTGTTATGATAATATCCACATACTAGAATTTCTTTTTCAGAATAAAAATGAAATGTCAGCATCAAGTTTTCATCCACTGCCATCATGGGCCAGGTTTTATTTTTATGGAATGCACGGGTTATTAGATGAAATAGTTTTCACTGCCATGTTTGATTTTCTACTCAAGCCCGAGGGAAATTGGCTCCTGAAAGGATATTCAACTATATTTTCATTTTTCATTTATGGAAGTTGTAGCTACATTGTGGAACAGATTTACAAATACTGTATTCAGAAAAACTTGTCTATATATAAACGTTTACCAATATATATTGTGTTCACATATTTTTGGGAATTTTTATGTGGTTTGATTCTACGTCAGTTTGGTGCCTGTTCATGGGATTATAGTCACTATACTCTAAATGTTATGGGATTGATCACATTTGAGTATTTACCAGGATGGATGATCCTCTGTCTATATCAAGATTTAGTATATTATTATATACTTAATCTCAAAATACATCTCTCTTTCTCCGAGCCCAGTAAAAGTAGATAAAAATTGTTTAATCACAAGACACATGCCTTGCTTGTGTCTGGATAGTTGTTTGGTGTGATAAAGACCTGGTTAGCAGACGCATTATCTGATTTGCAGTTAAAGTAAATACTATGCATTTGTCTTTTTTTGGTGCTTGCTTACTTAGAATTAGCATATGATAGTCATAGATTTTTCACTTTAATATATAATAAATATTTCAATATTTGTGCACTTAATATGGGGATCAAGTTTCAATGTAGGTTTATTTGTATTTATAATATCAGAAAAATTAATTAATTCTGATAAACAATCATTTCACTTGTGGATTGTCTCAAATGGTACAGTGTTGATTTGTCATGATTTTCTGTTGTAATGATCATTGCTGATTTTTCCATTTTAACAGCATGTAAGAAATTGTTCCTGTAAACCTTCAGGATATTTACAATATAACTCACTTGAAATTAGAACAATCTGATGCTGGCCATTGTACATCGTGTCCAAACCACACCCCATTCATCATACTTCCTAGACCATGTCAAAACCCGTATTCATGATACGATGGCCATTGTATAACTTGTAACTTGCTAACCTAGTATGTAATGATAAACAAAGAGCATTAATTTAGTTCACAGATACTTTTCTTCAAGAACCAGGAAGAGTCAGCAATCCTGATCTTACAAGGAAAGAGCAGAAAGACCACTTACTAGTCATTTGATATAAACTGATTGTTTTCATCTTGTACCAAGTCATATCAATCCCAGAAATTAAAAATATGTTTCCCGGTATATTTATCTAATAATGAAAATTAAGAATGATATATTATTCTACAATTACTCTTAGGGCATCTACTTACACATATCATTACTTATTATTTTGTTGGTAATTTGTTTTGTTAGATTTTTTATTATTTTTGTAATAAACTTTGATAAATATGATGTTTTTATTTATTAATATGTTATCTCTGGTGTCCCTTTGTCAGTCCGAGGGGCTGACATGGATGGAAAAAGTGTCTAGTAATTCGGATTGGACAATTGACTAATGCCCCAAATTCTACTGACTTGCACAATAAAACCCCTCGACCCCTTCGAAATCAAAAGAGAGTAAGCCAATGCAGCAAAATTTCTCTCATTGCATACTGCATTGTGTTGCTTGTCTTGATTAGCCCAATTAGGTGCAGAAAAGTAGGACATAAAACTCCATTCATTTCATTGGATCTTATGTTATATTTTCTAACATTTTATATTTGATAAGAAAGGGAAATTTTGCAGCAGCACACCTGGGGGATTTTAAATGCTTTGAGCCTCAATTTTTCTCATCAAAACAATTGATTTTTCAGCACACCTCTCTGATCAGCATCACTGTCATCAGGATAAGAGATCCTGACAGGACCAGATAAAACCACAAACCATCATCTTCATGACTAGGGTATTAACTGACCGAATTTACATTGATAGAAAGTCTGGAGTCACAAAGTAAGAATCATGACTTGCCTTCTAACAATCAATAACAATCTTATCAAATATCTAATCTGCTTGACTATATCTAGTCCATACATCATGATACTGTTATGAAAGTTAGGGCAAGATTTGTCAAGCTATCTGTTCCTCTGACTTGACATAACATGTTATATCATTACGGTTGGAGCCAGACTCAAAAGGTCACATTTCTCAAATTTGGCTTTTGTCATAATGAAAAATGCTCAAAAACTAACCATCAAAGAATGGATCTGAGCAACTCCTATATACATTAAGGTTGACAAACTTCTTAGTCATTCTAAAAGGTTTAAAAAGAAACACCATTTCAGATTTTAATTTTTATTGGAAATTCTATCAGCTAATTACAAGATATGGCTGAAAGTCACTAACATTCAGTTTGTATTTGAAATGGTATATGCAGAACAAAGAACATATCAACAGAGCAACTTGAAATCAAATTAAAAAGTGTCAATTGAAGGTCTGATTTAATATTTTTTTGTAATTTCTCTATAAGAAAGCCTGTAAGTTTAAAACATGAATTATTAGTTATGTAAATAATACTTTTTCAAAAAAATTTGAACCAAAACTAAATGGAACAACAATGAGAAAAATGATAACCATATTTTCCAATTACACTTAAAAACATATTTCTCAGCATTTTATTTCAACTACATCAAACGGAGACTTATGGCAAGATTTAAATTTGCATCATTTATCAAGAAGATTACAGCTAATTTGAACTATTTCAATATTTTTATTCTGTCTAAATATGAGATCAAAAAGTGGAGTGGAGTGGAATGGAGCTCTATAAGTTAGTTTTACACCACACCATCTTCAAAAATTCTTTGCTCTTCTTGAAACTTTTTCTTGATACATTCATGTGATACTGTCATTGATTGATTATTATAGATTGCTTTTCTGATACTGTATCTTATAGAATAATGTCCATTTATAAGAGAAAAAAATTATTTACAAAATTCTACACAGATTATTACAGTATATGAGTTATGACGACCATAATTCTATTATATCATGTCAGTTTCTTATAGTCCATAGTCCATATAAAATTCCTATGACAAAAATATGTTTACTCTTGGAAAACAAAAGCCACAACTGACTTTCATTGCTAGATAATACTTCTTATACTTATAAAACACTGTTAATTCAAGGCTTTCATAGAATTAAATAATCCCAGACCTATAGAACACTTTCAAGGTCTTTGGACAATTCCAATCTGTAAGTACAGTATTTATCTGTGAACAGTGGAAATAAACTATTGAAAAAGTCATAAGATACAGCATGTTCACTGGACAATTAAAAAATGACGTGCCATCTTGAATTTGACCTCAGTCCATAATATAAATTTTACATACTACAGTAAAATACAGTAAAATTGTGTAAAAGTTTTTGGATGTGCTGAAGTTCATGTGAGGGCATATAAGTTTGGTACAGTTTTTGTTATAGAAGGACATTGAATTAACAGTATTTATAGTCCTGAATAATAATAAAATATGTCTAATAAACACAACCATGTATTGTCTCTATAACAGTTTTTATATATATAGATATATCTTCATATATTTATTATATACAAATTACTTATATTTACAGCAAAAAATGGGCTGTTTCGAAGTAACATACATTTTCACAATGTTCATTTATTTATATCTACTGTGCAATCATTTATTTTTGTTAGCACCAATTTTCGTCATCGATTTGTCATTGTTTTGTTTTGACTAATGATAGTGTTTTTGGTACTTACTATCTGGATTGATCCAATTTTTATTGAAACTTTTTATCTTCTAATTAATCAATAAATTCTTTTTTGTCTTCAATTTCAACTCCATCAAATTATAATGATTCCACAGTATTTATCTTCTATCAATAAAATTGTATACAAGGTATTCACAAATCAATTACTATATGCTACTCTAAGTTTTAGAATGGCCAACATTAATATGTAACATGGCGCCTATCTATATTTGATTTGAAGAGAATCTAGTATTCTTATCACATAAATTTATACAGTGTATTTTATAAAATATATATCTATCTAACAGAAATATGGTATGTTTCTACCAATAAAAGGTTTTTTTTCTACTGAACAAAATAATCTTCCATCACCCATACAATTCTAGAACTTTGATCTGTTTGTCTACAAATAAGATAGACCACTTCTAATATAAATAAGTCAGTACTCTAATACTACACGCAATTTTGAAATTCAATACAAGAAATTCTTAGGGATATAGAGAAAAAAAATCAGTATTCTGGAAAGACAGAGTTGAAAAAATATGTAACCATCCTTAGCAATTATTCCCTCATTTAATGTCAAGTAGATACAGTACAATAGAAAACAAGGAATTAATTATGTACAATACTTGTCTCTACAGAAAAGGCTATACTATCTGATAGAGGAACCACAAAGACTATGATGAATTTTAACAGAATCCTAAGTATTTATTTTTTCATTATGTACCAATCTAAATTATTTGTCTAGAACCAATATTCCAAATAAATTTCACAAGAAATGTTATTTACCAAAAATTTTCGTACAGGCCTATTAATTGTGCATAATGATATAAGTTGGTGCCAAATGTAAATGTTTTTTCTTTATAAATAAATACGGGAAAAATGTAAAAAAATCCTCATCTCTTTTCTCTTTAAAAAAAAACACATAAAAAACAAAAATATCATACTGAATGTAACTAAATATAAGCAGCTATATAGGATTGCTTTCAAACGGAAGAAAATTGTAATTAATCTAAATAATTCAACTGTAGGTAGGTAGGACTACAATAGCTTAGTAATCTTCTTTACGGATTGTGATTGCGTCTTGCTATTTTCTTTTGAAGCAATTATGTACATACACAAGAATTGAAACCAATAACTTTCAGAAAAATTCATTCTCTAGTTTTGGAAACAATGGCTCTCTTTCAAACTTAACACAATCCTTTGGGCTTAAAATAGAGAATTGTTGTCTATTATACAGTCTAGACCAGTGTTTTGATGATACTATTTGAATGATATAATATTCATAATTCATAATACTTTGATAACATTTCTATCTACAACATGAGATCAAAATATTGAATATTTACATATATGCCATGTCAAAATGGTGGAACCATCAACCAGCAATATCAGCTGAACAGGATGTCATAATTCATTGTTTTATTCTGTGGGTCAAAAATGCAAAAATGCTTGGTATTTTTTAAAGACCAGAAATCATTATATCAAATATACATGACAATTTATCTTGGAACATCAACGAATTTATAAATAGCCTGGCTGATAATTTACAGTGTCCAGGGTCATAATAAGTAGACATTAACAGTTCCATTAACACATAGCTTTTAGTATTTCAATATGGTTCATTTTTTGTACTGAATACATTGCTAGTTAGAGACTACTCAAAAAACAAGTTCAATACAATAAAGTGACTTTAAAGGATATTTAAACAATTTCTATTAGCTGCAATATTTACAATGTTAGCTTTGGAAAGTCTGATATAGGACATGGCTTAGAATAAAAAGCTCCAAAACAAATATTGTTAGAAATATATATATATGATTGTATCTTGTTACTAGTCTTTATATGATAATATCTATATGATCAGTCTTTCAAATATTTCAGTAACCATCATTTTTAACATTTCAACGTTCTAGTCGAATTAATATTCAGACAAATCAAACATTATGTACATTTGACCATGTACTATAGAGTCATTTTACAATCAATGACAAAATAATTTTCATTTGCCTTGAGATAATAATAGTGGGCAATTGATAATATTTATATTACCAGGCATCTTTTAATAAATGCTATTTATTGCCAACGAGAAGCTTAAATAGTAAGAGAAAGAGACCAACTCCGCGCCAGTGATGTGGTCAATAAACAGTGAGCAATGAAATAAAAGATATGAGATGATATAATAATGATAAGTTATAATATTTATTGTGTTTCCGACTCCAGACAATCACCTAATGTTAATCTATAATGAGCTATTTCTGATATACCGTGATAATGAACAAAGGCTGCTGCTAACACAAACACATGGAATATTGTATGACTCTGGAACTGAAATAAACAAAAATATATATTAGGGGCATAACTTAACAAAAACAAACATAATAAAGAAAGGAATGGATTACGTCCTATATAAATATAAGTGAAATTTAAAGCTTGCATCAAATGCTGCAGTTTCATGTATTCTTATGTTAAAATGTTTCTAACAATAACATTGAGATGAAGCCATTACAACATTCCTTCCAATGGGAATATATGTAAATTAGCCTGAAGTAAAATATGAAGACTCACCCAAATATCAAATTTTCCTGGGAAGAGTCTTTCTGGAATTCGGAAAGCATAAATTAGAGCTCCAGTTATATACAGAACGGCCATCAAGACTAACCATCCTAGCGCTGCATCATCTATTGCATGGTGAAATCCGTCTGTTATGACATAATGCATTGCAGGAATGACACCACTTAAACCAAGTGCTATAAATACTCCTGAAGGAAGAAAAATAAAATAATGAGATTTGAAAAAGTGTTGTTTCAATTTCAAGGGCATTCTTGTCTTGTCAAGATTTTTTGTAATAAGCAATAACAAATCATACTTAATCATAAAATAGTAAATCATATAAATACATCTACATCACCTTGTCCTGGGTGAGATAACTTGAGAGGTTCTTTGCATTTTTAATATAGTGAGTCTCTGTTTCAAATCATAGCAAATTACAATAGATCTCAGCTGACCTTCATTGTCAAAAACTACCAAGTTTCTATCTTGATCTTGGTATATAAAGATAGTGGACCACAGCCATATACGCCCACCAAGCATGCGGATGGTTAATATTAAAGATTTTGGGGCAAGGGTAATTACTCTGCTTCTTACAGTCGAAAATAGCTCAAATTCGAACTTGATCTTCGTTTTATGAATATGTCTACACATACAGAATTTCATTTGATTCCATCAAAAAATCTAGTTTTTAGAGCGTTTACAAGTAAATGTTGACGGACAGACAGACCGACGGACCTTCGTTTCATGAATATGTATGCACATACCAAATTTCATTTGATTCCTTCAGACACTCTAGTTTTTAGAGTGTTTACGAGTAATTGATGTTCATAGAAGCACTTACGGTATAGAGGTTAAAGGTCGATAACTCCTCAAAACTGACGTAAGAGGCCTAATCTTGAAAAAGGGTTAAATTTAATCAACAGTAAACTTAACTTTCTCAAACCTTTCGATTTAGGTCCAATAACATCCATTTTTAGTTTCATCAAAATCAGTTGAAAACTAAGAGAGTAATAGCATATTCAAGATCAGGGGGCAAGGGCAATAACTCTGCTTCTAATGGTCGAAAAATAGCTCAAATTCGAACTTGATCTTTGTTTTATGAATATGTATACACATATCGAATTTCATTTGATTCCATGAAAAAATCTAGTTATTAGAGCGTTTACAAGCAAATGTTGACAGGCGGACGGATTGACGGACGGAGTGTTTACGAGCCATTGATGTTGATAGCAGCACTTACTATATAGAGGTTAAAGGGCGATAACTCCTTAAAACTAATGTAAGAGGCCTAAATCTTGAAAAAGCCTTAAATTTAAGTTAAGTTAAGTAAACTAAACTTTCTCAAACCTTTCGATTTAGGTCCAATAACATCCATTTTAAGTTTCATCAAAATCAGTTGAAAACTAAGAGAGTAATAGCATATTCAAGATCAGGGGGCAAGGGCAATAACTCTGCTTCTAATGGTCGAAAAATAGCTCAAATTCGAACTTGATCTTTGTTTTATGAATATGTATACACATATCGAATTTCATTTGATTCCATGAAAAAATCTAGTTTTTAGAGCGTTTACAAGCAAATGTTGACAGGCGGACGGATTGACGGACGGAGTGTTTACGAGCCATTGATGTTGATAGCAGCACTTACTATATAGAGGTTAAAGGGCGATAACTCCTTAAAACTAATGTAAGAGGCCTAAATCTTGAAAAAGCCTTAAATTTAAGTTAAGTTAAGTAAACTAAACTTTCTCAAACCTTTCGATTTAGGTCCAATAACATCCATTTTAAGTTTCATCAAAATCAGTTGAAAACTAAGAGAGTAATAGCATATTTAAGATTTTGGGGCAAGGGCAATAACTCTGCTTCTAACTTGATCTTCGTTTTATGAATATGTATACACATACTGAATTTCATTTGATTCCGACAAAAACTCTAGTTTTTAGATAATTTACAAGCAAATGTTGACGGCGGGCAGGCGGGCGGCGGTGCCGACAATATACGTCCACATAGAGAGATGTGGGTGTATAAAAATGACATAAACTCAAACATACCTGCTCGAACAGCTCTGAATTCAGGTTCTGCAAACTTATCCCACATAGAAACAATGATACAAGCAGTACCTAGTACAAATATCAATACTAAATACACCACTTTAGGTCCCAGTCGACAATAGAAACTATAATATAACCATGGTACAAATGATCCCATCGTCAATAAAGCTATACCACAATAATCTAATCTGAAAATACAATAAATTGAACTCATCAAATAAACCAATTGATTTTTGTGCCAGTCAGGTCTGATGTGACTACCAAAATAGCAGGCTGTAATTTTGTCCTTTCAGTCATATATATGTTATAAGATGAATTAAATGGACATAAATGTTTCAAGGCACACTGTACAACTATTAAGGACAAATAGTGACTTTCCATAAATCACTTTCTGAAACTTGTTTGATGTTATAGTTGGATTACATTAAGTAAAACTTCTGTGGTTTAGATGTGGGCAGTGAGTCAAAACTTACTTATTAAATAATTTTCCAACTTTTTCTGAATGACAAAATACTGTATGGAAAATCCAGGAAAAGGTCATACACAAAATGGCGCCTGCAAAAAAAGCTGAGAACACTGCCTTTTCTTGCCACTGAATTTCAATTGTTGGTCTTGTGAGAAAATATGTTGCGATTCCTATGAATGCAATCATACCTGTAAAGAAGATAACAAAATTGCCAGCTCATGATATATGAAAGACATATTATTTGATTATGTTGTCACATCAATAATGGACATTTTTTACATGTTTCATTTATTGCTTCTATTAGCTGATCAATCGTCAAAACTTAATATAAAGTTAACTTCAAACTAAACTGATGTCAATTAAGTAACTAATGATACAGGTAGCTAAACCTAAAGATTTTTAGAAGTGTAAGTGTATTTCTCCCAAATTCAAAAATTAGCACACAATATATGGATATCAAATATCCACTACCATTTTAAATTTTGAATTTTGGAATGCTCTACCAATAAGATTGCAATAATTTTTACATACACTGGTCAGGTTAATGAAGCAGTCATTTAACACAATCCCATTCTAATATATTTGATAAGATCCTCCTAAATACAATATAACGATTCTGTCTTTTAATAATTTATCATAATCTGCTTACAAATAAGGATTATATTTCTAATTTTAATACCTAACACATTTCTTAAAATAATACTATTATCATGACTGTGCCATAAAGTCATGATTTTTTATGTCCATAAACTGCAACGTCAAAAATTCAAACTTATCTTAATTCTTACTATTTGAAATCTATAGAAAATAATTTCACATCCCTATGATTAAAGATAGCTGTCATAAACGATAAAAAAGTCTTTAGTGATATCTGTAAGTCGAGACAAAACCTCAAAAACAGTTCATCAAATTATCATCTAATAAACATGAACAACATGACGTACATACAAGGGCTAAAACTCTGATACTGTTCATCTGTATATTACCAATTTCGTACTTAACCAAATCTCATCAATATATACATGCATACTAAGTTTCATCAAGATAGGATAGCAACTGCAGCCTTTATTATGCCTACAAAAAATTTGAAAGGACGGCCTGATGGACGGGAGCGAAGGCAATATATACATCCACATGTCCAATTTCTAATTCTAATGGTATAGAAATGTATTGAGTTTTTTTTTTGAGACTTTCTATCAAAGCTTACCTAATAGATGTGTCCAAATATTGCCTGTTTCAGTATGTATTGAGAAGATAGATTTAAAACAAGCTAAGAAAGAGTAAGTTGGTGGTCTATGTCCACGTAACAAAAAGTCATTATCTTTTAACCATGTAGGTAATGAATGATGATGAACTACACGCCAACCAGCTTCCCAAACTTTACGTACAAATTCTTCAGCTTGTTCAGCACATTTACTGGGTAAACTTAAAATTTCCATTGACGAATCGTGAAATTCTTCTTCTGTATCATCACTATCTCTTCGCACCTTAAAAAATAATTCACTACATAAATAAATAATCATTTATATCATGAAATCTGAACTATGTAGATGATAGTACATAATTCATAAAGACTATCATATAGTTAATCTAAGGACTGGCAAATGTTAATGCTGAATGCGTATGTTTATGTTTCAATATTTCAAAAGGTACATATATTAGTCTTTTACGTTTGAATAAATAGTTGTTTTTCTTTTAAAATTTCAATTTCAAATTCTGTATTCAGCTTCAGTATCATCCCAGCAACAAATACCAAAAAAAAAGAGAAGTCGACTGATTTCTGATAATACATAAAAAACATCACAAAAAACACCAATCACCAATCCTCAGCAGTTTCCATAAAGCTGAATCTGACTCGGTAATGAATAGTGAATTCTGTTGTGTCTTCTTTACTTCTGGTATTTAGCAGTGATTTGTCAAACTGATAGTAATGTTGCATTCTTATATGCATTTAATGCTATATTGTGACTATTGATTATCCAATGATACATTTTGTTATCAGTATGAATGAATATCTTACGCATGTTTTGTTGTCTTATTTGTAGTCCTGAACGACCAGTCTCTAATATTTAAATTACCAGAATCATGTGATCATGTTACAATATTCACATAGTTCTGGTAAAAAATTTCTTTCACAGAGTCCGTTTGAATAAACACTTACCTTTTCTGTTCCCAATAAATGGCCTACTTCAGACCGTCTGACACCCAGTTTTTTCCTGGGACTTCCAATATCTAAATCATCTTCAGCATCCGAATAATCACTTTCAATGGAGTCAGTATTAGTGATAACAGTACTGCGTGTTGTAATATGGGGTATAGGTAGAGGTGAGGAATCTACATGAGAAGTAGAAGGCAGATTCTCTAATATCTCACTATTGTTTTTCTCCATATACAGTTTATCCATGGTAGATACTGAATTTAATATTCTATTTTCCAGTTCAATAATCTACTATTATCCTTTCCTTCTCTAATCACTATTATAATTCAATTGTCAGCTATTCTGAAATAAAGACAGAAAATCAATGAAAAGTTTTAATTTTGCGCAAGAATTTTTGCAAGATTCACAGCTGTTGAAATGTTTTTTTGATTGTTTTTCCTCAACATAATCTCACTACACTATATTCAAATATAGATTATCTAACATATTTATCAATCTATACTCATAATCCAATCAAAAAAACAAAATCAGTAGGCCTTTATCTCTTTAACATCAAAAGTAAGAAGAGATCAGATCTGATTACTGAACTATAAAATTTACTAGTATCTTATAACTCCTTTCAAAATGAGGAGTGGACAGCTGATCTTATATATACCAACTATAATTGAACTAGTACAATGTACACCAGTTATTAATCATTATGACTTTAAACATTTTACATGCTATAATATCTTTGAAAACTCCAATAATAACTACATTATTAAACATTAGGTCAGCTGGCGACATTATGTTAATATAAGATCAGCATACGATTAGATTATCATCCAGAAAATAAAAATTTAACACCGACATAAATAGCCATTGTGCTAATATTGATTAAATTTGTTTCTGAATATGGCATTAAAACCAATTGAAAATTGTTACATCTTAGAATATATCTGCAAGAAATTATTAATCAATAGTCCAATGGTGGAAAAATGACTTAAGTTAGGAGAAAATGATAAATGAAAACAGTTGGAAGTGGACCACATGTAGTAAACATAACCTTGTAATTATCAACATAACCCATATTTTTATTTATATCATGATGTCATCAAGAAGTCGCTCTACAATTGATGTAATGAGTACAAGATTAAGAGCGAAAATATTTTGTTATTGTTTATCATGTTATATAACACAAGATATGAATTAATATCTGAACTTTGTCCCCTTAGCCTAGTATGATGTGTAATAGAAGCATGTGAGCAATACTGATAGTGGTTAAAAGGCAGAATAAGATTGACCTATACTTACGTTTTGCAATAAAACTAGTACTGGTACTTTGAAATTTGCAGATTTTTTTAAAATTTGAATATCAGATTCAAAACATTACTGACAGTCTCGTCCTCTCTAAAAATGAATTTCAAAGTGATAATGCATGCTAATGTTTATAAGCTTATCTTATCAACCCGAAGATATTCTAAGACAACAATGCTATTTTGAAGCTGATATTCTACTTCTTGTAAAAAAATCATTAAAATTTGATATATTGGTACCAACAAACTTGTAAAGACAGTAATTTTTAACATTGAATTTTAACAATATACTATCACTGTTCATTTAATCTTGAACCATATTGATAAATATAAGGTATAATCAAGGCTTACGAGTTATTACTCGAGTATCATTAGAAAAATCCATACTGAGTCCATTAAAAGATCCAACGATAAAAATTATTATCACTATTTATAGTTAAATATATCTGTTACAATGTTAGGTTTTCTATGAAACACCTGACAAATNTGATTGAAGTACCAACAGTAATAAGAGCAATAGTCAATCTGTTACCTGAGATAAATGATCCACTGTTGGTAACAACTTTATTGATTAGAAATAAATGATAAAAGTTGTATTAAATAATTTAATTGTTATTTGTGAACTTTGATCTCTACAACAACTCAAGGGTTATAAAGATGGAAAATCCCAATTAAATATGACATTACATGAAATGTGGAAGTAACCATTTCAATTAATCATAGTTTAAACTCTTTGAATATGTCAAATAATAATTTATTACAATTAATGTTTTGTTATACTATTTGATGTTGTTTGGCTATATCAAGTACTATACTATTCTAAGAAACATTTATCCAACTAACCTATATTGTGTTCAAATGCCAATTTGGATGTATGAGGAATTGGTGAAGTCAATAACAAAAAATAATCATCTTAAAATTAGGAATACCGGTATCAAATTTGTACAAGATCAAATTAACTTACAACAATATCAGATCTAAACTGTAGCCTATCTGTTCAAGAGCCAATTTTGACATATTTCGGCCAAGAAAAGTCCCAAAAAGTTCCATAGTTTTATTTAGTATAATTTTGGACCCTTTAACCAAGAATTGGTGTGCATTATCAGGTTTAAGTCAAATTTTACGTGAAGCTTCCCATAATCATAATCAATACCCTAATATGATTTTACCCTAATATAATTTATTCATAACTTTGTTTTGAACACATACAGACTAACTCATCTACACATACAATGTCCATTAGATTTATACTTTAACACTTTATTCGCAAAAAAAAAAATGTCTGTTTGACCTCAACATACTCAACTGTACCAGACAAAGTTTTAAACTACACCCAGTAACTAGTAAGTACTGTAAGCATATCACACTACACGCTCTTCTTACGTTTTTACGAAAGCACAGATATTTGTTTTATGGATAAAATATCAACATCTGGTTGTGACCTCACAACAGTGAAACAGTAGCCTAAATACCAGTGAAAAGCATTTTGTCCTGTAATACCTGACACCACTCTTATAAGATGCTAGATAGATAGGAAATAAAAATAAAAGCAATAAATAAAGAAACAAAACGATGTATATCTCAAAAGGCCTAGATCAAAGTCAAAGGGCATCTAACTAAAAATAGAATTTGTCAAGTCTAAATAAAACTGAAAATAGTAGATCTTATATAAAAAAAAAACAAACAATCATTCAACAAATTTGGCCTAACCAAAATACAAAACAATACACTGCTCTGCTCTTCTTTCGGTGTAACCTAATCTACATCTATTCACCTTAGACACAAAACAGATAATATTAAAGTTACCTTTCAAAACAATGAAGAAAATCTCGATAAAAATTTCAGTTTACGGCAAAATATTTCGATTTTATGTTTATTTCATGTCATAACCACTAAAGGTAAAAGATCAGGCCATTTCCATTTCAATGAATGTGGCCTACGTCAGAAGAAGTTGTGTACACGGTTACTGATGACGTATTTCTCAACAGAAGAAACTCTCAACTTCAAGAGAATCGTTCCTCCTGCCATTTATTCTAATTGTTCGTATATTAAGTAGATTAAATGCTTGACTTTTTGGCTTAACGTAAGTAATTTTACTGTGTCTTACCCTAAAAAAACAATCTGAGCGTAAAGAACTGAAGAAGTGATCTACAGATACTTTTTGTTTATATTTATGGACCGCTAATACCACCACTTATTTTTTTTATGTATGGCAAGCGTTTCAGTCCAAATTGCATATTACTTAAATCTACCACTTAAATCGAATAAAGTATAAATTTCGTTTATTTGATATAGATCAAAAGAAGATAAAGAGCAACTTTAATTCTGTCTGTCTAGATCTAATTATAATTGCATTACGGTACGATTTTGTTTCATTTTTTTTCAAATCTTCATTTCTACAGTGCCCATCTTGATCTAATCATGTTACTTTTAACCAATCAAAGTGTGTCATGTAGAGCCTGATATAATGAAGAATCGTGGTATAGCAAAATTCCTAGAGCAGGTTTGGGCAACCGTTTTGACTGAAAGGGTCAGATATGAGATTGGGCCACACTTAATGATAATAATGATAATTTAATCCAATATTCACTATCCAACTTGCAACGCTTTGATTGAGATGTTGCCATTCCAAAATCAAGAAGATATGCTAACTCAAATTGTAGCTTTCAATGTTTCAAAATATCTAGCAGTACCATTGGAAGAAAATGGGGCTGTTTTTTTATTTAAATTATTGCAAACTGATGGTTTCCTACTTTCTGGAAACATAAAAAACAAGAATAAACAACCTGTATCAACTAACTCTTCTTCAATATCAGTATCATATTCATCAGAATTCTCAAGATTGTTAAGCTAATATTAACAAATGGATGCATTTCATCTGTACAATTATTCTTTCTCTTGTCTAACCAAACTTCTACAGCAGTCTTTGGATCAGAAATAACTGTCCGTTTCTCTGAAACACAGAGTAAAAAGTCATGGTATTATTGGACATACTCTACTACTGAAACATTAAACAAGCAGTAGCCCAAATTATTTATACCCCTTTACAAAACCATTAAATTTCTAACATATTTAAACTTACCAAAAGATAACTAAATGTTTTATTTATCTAAAAATAAATCTTGAATCTTTTAAGATGTACAGTGAAACCTTGATAAGACAATGTGACCATATGAACACTTCTACTCAAGTACAATGACTCAAGACAATAGATAATGGAATTTAGCTGCCATGTATTATCAAAAAATCTTACTTTTTTTCTTGGTCACTGGTAGATGATAATCATCTGGGGGTGAATCTTCATCACCAGAAGTTACAAAATCTATTGGATGTGATATTAAATGTTTAACTTCTCCATGAGATGTTGGATTTGGATGGGCTGATGATGGTCTAGTCTTTGATCCAACAAATTTAACATTTTCATCACTCTTTAAGCGACTAGCTGAATGAGGACGGAAGAGATGTATAGAGCTTTTCTTTGGAAACATTTCTGTCATTTTTACTCTAGAAACAAAATAAATTCTTTGTAAAGCGACTAAATCCTTGATGAAAAACACGATATGTAATGTAATGACTTTGATATTTGTTAGAGCATTACAAGTTGGAGACTGCTGTAGAAGTTTGGTTGACAAGAGAAAGAG